AAGGAAAAAGGAGGGGGGGGAAGGGATGAGAGGATGCGAGGACACATGGAAAGCAGGGAAAAGAGTGGGAGATCGACCGTCATGATCAGAGAACCCGATGGATGATGGCGCCACAAAAGGGGACACCCGCGGGAATGAGCACAAAAGGGGACACCCGCGGTAATGAGCCAGTCAATTTACCGGGTGGCGCCATGTAGACGGCTTGCATGACGTTGGGGTCGGCAGTGGTGGCGTAGAGGGTGCCGTCAGGGGTGGTGAACGTTTGAATGGAGAGCTCATCTGAGGCAGGAAGATTGCGCTCGGAGACCGAGTAGGGCTGGTAGCGGGGGATGGCTTTGGGGTCGAGAATTTTCTTGCTCGTGTTATCGCCGTTGTTCTTGAACTGGGAGGGATGAAAGTGGAGATGGGACACGCAACCCAGATGGCGGTTTCGATCGTAGTGCTCCTCAAAGTTGCGGCGGTGTTCGGGATCGGGGATCAGCGCGGCGAGCCAGATTTGACGGCGCATGGGTTCGTTGGGAAGTCGGGCCCAACCAACGACGCGAACGTTGCCGCAGGCGCCGACGGGATTGCTGCAAATGCAGGTGTGCGCGGGCAGGGTGTGACCAACCGAGTCGAGTTCCTTGACATCGGTCCATTGCTGATCGGCCATGGGCAGGGCATCGCGACGGGCCTGGACCTTGCCACCGGCGTTGCGGGTGAGCATGTTGAGGGGGAAGTGGATTTTGTTGACACGGGCGTTGTTGGCCTTGCCACGCTTGAGCCACATGCCCACGTCGGCGTCTTGGATGGTGGGATTGAGGATGGAGAGCCAGAGGCGTGCACGTTGCTCGTTGCGCGGCAGGGAAACATCACCACAATCGGGATGCGCCTTCATGCACATGGCGCCCCGTGCACAGACGCACGAGCGCTTGCCACCCTTGCCCTTGCGACGCGGGGCTGGGGCAAAGAGGGGTTGTTGGTTGAGAGGGGGCATAACGCTACCGAGTGCGACGTTTTGATCCATGGCGGCAGTGGCAGCGGCTCGAGCTGCCAGAAATTCGGGGTCGGCGGGCTGGCTTTGCGTGTCTGGGCCCATGAGGAGGGCGGCATCAGGTTGATCGTGGTGTGTGGCGAGAACGGCATCGGGAGCCTCTTCGTCGGCGTCATCATCGGGGTGGTGATGACCATCGGGGCCAGCTCGATGGTGGTGCCGGCGAGAGCGCATGATTCGCGCAGGCCAGGGGGCGGGGCA